GTTCAGAGCCAGCATGAGCAGAGGGTCGTCCTGGAGGCAGCGAGCACCGATGTGGTGGCCCACCTGCTTACGGTATCCTGTCTTGTACTTGTACTAGAAAATAGCAAGTGTGAGAGTTTTCAGAACTGAACTCTGTTGAGGCAGTAAACATACGAAATGATATATGCACTCGAGTATAGAAGTAACCACACAGTTACTTACATCACTGGCGATGGCAGTGGAGGCTTTGGCAGCCTGGACTGAGATGGCATCAGCACGAAGGTTATGGCCCTTCTTCTTGGACAGCTCGTTGTCCAGTTTGTAGAGTTTCTGAAGAGACAGAGAGAATACACAGTTTTATTTCATGATCGGGTGTATTTACGATTCTGATTGGCTCAGGTTGTCCATTAAAACCTGATAATGAACAGCTACTTAGCACAACACTGTCTGTTCACTACCCTGAATTAATGCACTGGCTGTATAATGGTATCAGCCTGTATCTAATGTGAGTAACCATAGCAACGGGGAAGCAGTCTGTTTACAATGTCTTACCAACGCTGAGTCTTTAAGTACCTCGTCCTCTGAGCACCACAGGACGGAGACTGTCTGTCCCTCAGACCTCGCTTCGTACCACATCTGTGATCATCTCACATCACACTTACTGTTCAGTCTGAGTGTGAAGGTTGTTTCAGTTTTTACCAATAAAGATGCCCTGACCTGTTTCGTGTATCAGCTAACAGGCTAAATGACGTGTTGCTTGAAAAACTGCTCGCCCTGGCTCTATTCTTTAAAAAGCTTTGTGCACCTCCGACCTACTGTGAGAGCAACAGTGAGCCTTTCCTCAGGCTCCATCAGGGCTCCATATCCTCCCTGAATGTTGTTGCTTGTTGTATATCGGGACAATTTGTCACACTCCATCTGGCAGAGTTCACTCGCTGTATGTTAGGAAGAGGCGTGATCCCTCACATAAAGGAAAGCTTGTTAACTTTCCAAAGAATATACAGATGCACCATCACAGTAATGTACCCACTTCCTGTTTGCCAGGACACGTGCTGTCAGTGCTGCATGTTACAGATCATGACAAATGATGAAACAATGTGTGTGAAAAACAAAGGTATCACACCGTACCTCACTGACGTTCTTCTTGTTTGCTCTGGCAAGAACGATGTCCATGGCATCAGGCATGATGTGGATCGACGTCTTGTCTTTCTCCCAGGCAGTGATGTAGGATTGCTAAAAACAGTGGTTACTTGTTGGTTTGATATCTCAGACATGAACGCTACAGAGAAATATTTGTACTTCATATCCAGTACCTTATTCATAATCTGGTTGTTGGCAGTGGCCAGAGTCAGATCCATGGAGTGCATGTCCTTAGTGAATTTGAAATTGCTGGGATGTTGGCGGTACTGGGGCTCACTGAGGATCCTGCCGGCTGTTTTTGCTTTCTCAACATCCAACGATCCGATTGGGACCCAGCCGATTCCCTTCATGAAGCTGTCGTACTCACTCTTGTACTGGTTCTGAAACAATGCAGCGCAGACACAAAGAGCATTGGGAACAGTCATGTCAGTGTTTGGACTGTTTGAAAATCTTCTACAAATAAAGACACGTTGTTAATAAGCTGAAGTCGGACTCTCTACGTACATCACTGGCGATGAACTGCATGTTACGAGCAAGCACCAGGTTCATGGCGTCAGGCAGCACGGTGTAGTGGGGGTTGTGCTGCTTGTATCCAGCCATCGTCTGAGCAGCAGAGGCCTGCTTGGCGTGGACCACACTCAGCATGTCCACGGGGGAGTGGTACTTCAGCTTGGACTTGTGATAGTCCTTCTTGTAGTTCTTGTCGCTCTGAATCTTCGCCACCTCCATGTAGTGAACCAGCAGAGGGTCGTCCTGCAGGCTGCGGAAGCCGACGTGGTGACCTCTGGCCTTCTCGTACGCCAGCTTGTATTTGTACTGTGACAGCAAACACATGTTGTGTCACTCACGACTGTATTGGTTTATAATATGAATCTAAACAGGTGTATTGTGAATTGATTTAATACAGAAAGGTTTTATAACGTACATTGCTGGCGATAGTGGTACCACTCTTGGCAGCAATGATTGGGATGGCGTCTGCTTTGAGGTTGTGGCCTTTTTTGGCCATCTCCACGAGACCGGCTTTGTACAGTTTCTGTAAACAGAGAAATAAAACAGTGCTTACATTTACAATCTGATCACCATTAACCATGTGCAGTCATGACCCAAAGTAAGAGCCCAACACAAAATGGGGCACAAACCCATTTTGATTTGATACCCGTCACGTGAATGGAAACACTGAGGCGTGTAATATGCCACCGGACACCACAGGGGTGCCGTACTGTTATACTTTCAAATGTTTAAGTGGCATCTGAGCACACTGGACTGCCAGCTCCATCAAATGAAACATGCTCAACGTCACCACACTGTACGACTGTATGGGCTGTAGCAGGGGCTGGGTACCCAAACCAAGTATTAAACTGGCCCTGGGGCCAAATTATTAAAGACTGCAGTATTGATAAACTTTATCGGTTCTGATATCAGTTTTGGAAAAATTCAAGATATATTTCTTGTTCACTTAGGCCACATAAACGTTCTCTTGTACAGTTTTTATCTCACCGACTCTGATTCTAATTTGCAGTCAAATTAAGAACGAGAGCTCTCTGTGTCCGAGCCTCACAGCCTGCTGCATGTGTGAGGGGCGGGTTGGTAACTCCTGCATGTGAGAGCAGAAACATCTAGTGAACGTCCATCACATACAGGCCGAGAAATGCACCGTCTCCTACCGCCTAGCTCCTCGTTCATCTCCTGTCATTCCGTCCATGTCGGATATGCTCTGGTCTACAACAGTAAGTCATTCAGGTTTCTTCCATTTTTATTGTTAAAGATTTTTTGGGGAGTTTTTCCTGATCAGTTGTGAGGGTCCCAGGACGGAGGGACAAACTGTGATTTGTGATATTGGGCTTTATAAATAAAATTAGAAATTGAAATTAAATTCTAAACATTGCTGTAACAGAATGTTAATTTATATGATGTACTTACAATGAATTCTGTTCTTATTTTGTTTATTGTCTTTTTTGTAAAATCCCCCAAAGAACTGAAAGGAGTAGCGCTAGAGTACCAGAACAATAAGCAGTATCACTAAGAGTCGTGGTAGTATCTTTAAAATCTTTATGATGCCCATCTCTAGTTGTAGCTGCTCTGACAATTGGCCGACAACACATCACATTAAATCAAGGGACACCTGCAGTGATTGGCTGTCAGCAAAACCATACAAATAGTCATTTTTTCCTAGATGTGAGAAAAAAAGGATCAAATGCAGTTAGCGTTTGACTCTGTGCGGCTCACTTCAGTCAGTACCTTAGAGGTCTGAACTAATACCAGTACTGGTTATGTTACCTAGAGTTTGGGACCAATACCCAATGGTACTTTTTCGATATCTTACTTTCTCTTTAATGACAAGCTACAGTGGTGACGTAGTGGAGTCGAAAAAAAAGTCTGCTCCTCTGCTCTTTTCTAACCACAAGTAGAGCTAATCTGTCTGTCTGTCTGTCTGTCTGTCTGCTCGATTGGCGGTGATGGTAGGCTGTTACTAAAATTATATAGAAGACAATAGACAAGGGGCAGATGAGCTCTGCAGTGAAAGTATCCGTATGTGGCTTTCAGGCTTTGGAGCTCCTCGTGTGACACTCCTGCCTTTTATCTAAACTCAGTCTCCCCTGTGCTCTCAGGTACCAACATTCAGCACAGATGGATTTAACGTGCATCAGTATGTGGTAGATCAGATGTAATTCAGTCGATACCCTTAAAAGTACTGACTCTGGTTTGGTAACCAACTCTCGTGTTGAGTGCTGATACCTCGCCTTAGTGTTAACTGTTAAAAGCAGCTGATTCGTCCTCTTACGTTGCTCATGTTGAGGGCGTTGGCTTTGGCCAGGACGATCTCAGGAGAATCTGGCATGACGTGGACGTTCAGTTTGTCCTTTTCCCAGGCTG